TCTGGCCCATAACTGGGGCTCAGCGCTGCCGGTTCGGGGGTTCAGCCCATGCTGGGGGTTTTATTTCCTTCCTGCTAGGGAACGCCAGGCAGCACCCAGCCCTCTCCTCCTCTCCGGCTGCGACCTTTCCGCGCGCGTGTGCGTGTGGGCGCGCAGCATGTCTCCGTACCTTAGGCTTTTACAGCTCCTCTAATTTTCCTTCTGGTTTTCTCTTTCCTTCTTGTAGAATTTTCAGTCAGTCGACTACCTGTAGCTCTGGGCGATGTCCACTCTACATTTTAGTTATATTCCATTGAAATTGTTGTGTGCTGCTGCGGTTAGATGTCTACCCGAGCAGCCATCTTGGATCCTCTCTAAACTCAAACTTCTTCTAATGCCACTTCTTCAAAATAGACTCGCACAGGCCATGGTATTTTGTAGAAGAGCCACACTCAAGGGGCCAAAGAACTGCATGTGGCTCTCAAGCAACAGTTTGCCGACCATGGCCCAAGGCTGTTCCCAAGTTATCACTGAACAAAAAACCCCTCCTTACCTTCCTGAAGCTGGAGGAGACCCAATCTGGGGCCCCAGGCTGTGTGTGTGGGGAGACATGGGCACTGGGCACATGATAGGCTATATCAATAAATGAGAACTCATTCTTTAAATGCAGCAAGGCCCATGTCAGTACTCCACCTTCCAAGGGCCTTCTGCCCAATGGGGTTGGGCAGACCACTTTAACCCCAGTGGTTTACAGCAGTGTTTCCCAACCTTCTCTCATGATGAGAATCACCTGGTGGAGTTGTTAAAACACAGATTCCTGAATCCCAACTAAGAAGTGCTAAACTAGAATTTTTGGGAACATATAGGTAAAATTGTATACTTAACTAGTGCTCTAAGACAGATTTTATATACAGAGCACTAAGTTAGGTATGCAATTTTACCTATATGTTCCCAAAAATTCTAGTTTAGCACTTCTTAGTTGGGATTCAGGAATCTGTGTTTTAACAACTCCACCAGGTGATTCTCATCATGAGAGAAGGTTGGGAAACACTGGTTTACAGGACCAAGGGTGAAAGAGGCAGGGGATCATGGTTGTGAGGAGGCTAGGGTTAGTGTTCACTGAACCCTCACCCAACAGAATGGCTGGAATCTGGAGTCAGGGAGGTGGCTGAACCCCAACACTGGTTTTCTCCTCACAGGCTGGAAACCTTAAGAAGCCCTGACCTGTCTGCATGTTCCTGGAATTGGGGGGAAGAGGCTCTGAGGTAGCAGGAACCAGCTCCATTGCTCAGGCTGAAATGGGCAAGGAAAGCAGACTGAGGGGTCCCAAGCTCTGCTGGCCCCCCCCCCCACCACTCCTCTCCCTTCCTTCCCCTGCTCTCTGGCTTCTCCTACAATCCCTGCCCCTCTCATCTATGTCCTGTCCTCTGCTCATTCCTGGTTCATACCCATCTTACACCCACCTGCCTCATTTCCAAGCCCTAGGGGCCTACTGAGGATGCCCTCTTCACATGCTGTTTCTACTCCCATTTATTTAGATAATTACTTGCTCCATGACTAGTCCATCTGATATTATATGAGGACAACAAAGAAAGCCACCTGCTACCAGAACTTCCCTTTTCACAGTGATTAAAATCCCACCAATAGTTTAGAGCAAAGCATTTACCTCCCCAGGTCCTCTCCTCCTCTCTTTCCTGTTCGTGTTCTCTCTCTCTCTCTGCCTCCCTCCTTCCCTCCCTCCTCCCTCCTTCCCTCCCTCCCTCCCTCCCTCCCTCCCTCCATATATATATTATTACAGAGAGGAAGGGAGAAAGAGGGACAGAGAGCCAGAAACATCAATGAGAGAGAAACATTGACCAGCCGCCTCCCGCACACCCCACACTGGGGATGTGCCCGCAGCCAAGGTGCATGCCCTTGACTGGAATCAAACCTGGGACCCTTCATTCAGCAGGCTGACGCTCTATCCACTGAGCCAAACCGGTCCCGGCATGTTCTCTCTTTCTTTCATCCTTCTCACTGTCCTTCTTTGCAGACAGCTGAAGACGCAGGAAATGTTGGAAGGTGATGAGACAGTTCCTCCACCGCCACCCCACACCGCTACTCTTTCCGGAAGAGAGTGACTGCAAAGATGGCCAGTCTGCTCCCCTCATCCCCACTCTTAGGTTCTCTAGCCCCATGACATGGGGGATTTCAGGGGATTGGTGACAAGCCCTGGTACCTGCTCCACTCAGGTCTCCTTCCACCCATCCAGATAGCTCAGCCTGGTTCCCAGAGGGAGAGGAGTGCAGATCTCAAGTGACGTCCAGAGGCCAGTTGGCCCCAGGGTGGACTTGGGGAGGATGGTGAGAGTTTGGAGTTGGGAGGCCCCCGTTCCCCCAGTGGCCATTGTCCCCCCCTCAAATCCTGGAAGCTCCCAGCAAGCAAGCTGGGAACATCTGGGGGAATGTGTGTGACGCCAGAGCTGCTGGCAAAGCCTATTGGTCCAGCTGACGCCTGAGGCTGCTTGGGGTGGAGAACCACATGTGAGGAGACTGAAAAAAAGCCACAAAGCCTGCTACCTGCCTCTAGTTCAGTACCCACCAGGCATAGCTGTTCCCAGAATCTACGTGAGGCTTTAAGAGAGCAGAGGCAGGGGGAGCAGCAGCATTGAGGCTGCCTTAGCCTTGCTCGGCAGGGACGTGCCTATGTGTGTGAGCATGAATAGAGTCTATATGGAATCTGCATGGATCTGTGAGCTTGGACGTGGCTTTCGGTGTGTGTATGTGCTTGAGGCCTGTGACCTGTTAGTGTTCGTATATCTACGATATTTCAAGTGGGTAAGTATGGGTATGAGTTACTCTGAGGAATGCGTGCCCAGCCTCCGTGGTCTTTGGGGATGAGTCCTCTTAGATGACTTACAGGAACCACGGTTCAAGGACCTTCCGAATCTCCTGTTAGCCAAGAAAAGGGCCAGGCTGGGCACAGGGATCTGGGCCCCTCAATCTGCTCAAGGCCCACCTGCTGCCCTGTACTCAGGGCTGGTCCCATGGGAAACAGTGGGGCCCAGGCCCAGGTGGTCCCCCAGCTTGGTCCAGTACTGGCTTTGGATTTGGGGGACTGAGTGGAGGTGGGAGGACATGGCACCCTGATGCTGGGGAAATGTCTGTCCTGCTTTGGGCATTTTCAAAGTATTAAAGATGAGAGGTAGAAACAACTCCTGCCCCTAGAGAGAAAAACTTTTTTAAAAAAAGCAGATTGGCTTATTCCTCCTGTCTCTGCCATTCGAAGGGAGCCCTGGAGAGTGGTCCCCCTCCTCCCTACCTTAGCTTTCTGGCGGGGCTGTTCCCTCCTTGGCAGGTGACCGAAACATAGGACCAGCGTGGAGGCACTGAAACACTCTGCCCAGAGAGGGCCTAACCCCCCGACAGTCCCAGTGTCCAGTGTCCTGTCGGTGGGTAGTGAATCTTTTCCGTTCATCCCCACAATCAGCTCCATTCATTCCCTCCTTCCATTCCCTCCTTTTACTTACTGAGGCTTTTTTTTTTTGACCAGCCTATCCCCAAAGATAATCTGAAGTAATTTCTCTCCCTACATCTGAAAATAATAGTTTATTGAATCTTACTGTGTCAGGCTAGTGTACAGTAACTCATTACAATCTTAGAGATTTCTACAAGGCACTTCACCTCATCCTAGTTTTACTGAGAAATGGGCCAGTCCAACTATTTTCAACCTGTGTGCAGCAATAACTTTTAAAATATGCAAAACCACTACCAGGGCACTGACCTCTTTTTCCTTAGATTGTCAAATTTAAGAAAAGACGATAGCCATCTGGTGTAAATGAATCAAAATTATTTTTTGGTCATATCAGCACAAATATTTTTGGTGTGCTGCAGAATTTCAGTAATTAGTTTATGTGTGCCATGAGATGAAAGGGGTTGAAAATCACGCGGTCAATGGGTCTCTTGGTCAAGTGGCAGAGCCAGGATTTCAGTCTTGCCTCCTGCCTTCTGGACCACTGCTCTACTTTGCCCCTCACAGCCAGGAGGCGGGGGGGGGGGGGGGGGGGGGCTTCCTATCCCCTTAGTCCTCAAAAATGCTTCTAAGTGCTGTTAGGACCAAGACCTTGCCCTAGCTGGTTTGGCTCAATGGTGAGAGCGTCTGTCTGTGGACTGAAAGGCCCCAGGGTCAATTCTGGTCAAGGGCACATGCCTGGGTTACAGGCTCAATCCACAGTAGGGGGCATGAAGGAGGCAGCCGGTCAATGATTATCGCTCATCATTGATGTTTCTCTCTCCACCACCCTTCCTCTCTGAAATCAATAAAAAATAAAAAGACCAAGACCTAGCGGGTGGGGTAGGGACTGCTGGGAATTATCCCAGCTTTGGGGGTTCCCGGAGGACTGAATATAAGATACCCTAGAGTAGGGGTGTCGAACTCAATCAGAGAAGGGGCCAAAATCTAAAATCCAGCCTAAATCGCGGGCCGAATGGTTTACTGAACAGTCATAAACTGTCATTGTGATGGAAACGCAGCGGAGTGCAGTGATGACAGCGCGGTGCGGGCCACATTGCAAGGCCTGGCGGGACGGATTTGGCCCGCGGGCCTTGTGTTTGACACATGTGCCCTAGAGAATGCCCTTTGCCCCAAGCCTGCTCATTCACTGGTCCAAGGGGAAGAGGGTTGGGAGGCCAGGGATCCTGTGGGGCAAGGGCGTGTGCGCACAGAGCAGCGGTTCTACGGGACTGTCTCTCCCATGCAGTCCGCCCTCCTCCGGTGCACAGAGGAAGGGCACTGCCTGGCACCCAGGCCTGTGCCCGTCCCCTTCCCACCAGTCTCTTAGGGGGTGGGCAGGAACAGCAGCTGGTCAGCCCGAGGCCAGGAGGCAGATGTGGCTCTCACTCCCCCACCACCCTGTGGCCTTCCCCAGCCCTCCCTCGGTTACCCTGTCATTCCTGGGGTCCCTATAGCACTAGCCAAGGAAAAGGGGCCGCCCGCCTTGACTTACTCCTCCTCTTCTTCCAGGGCAAGAAAAGAATCACAAGTTCAGAAAATAATTTAATAGGGAAACAATAAATGATACACTTTACACTGGCCTCTGATAAGGCAGAAAAGACGACCCTTGTCCCAGGAGGCACTGAAGGGTGGAAAGGTTAGAAATCACCAACAGCCAGAGTTTTAAAAACTAATCCCCAAATAACTCCAGCATACACACCATTGTTCTCCTAAAAGCCCCACGGGGGAGGGGTAGGAGGTAACAGCAACACCCATGGAGCGGGGAAGACCAGGCCCAGAGAAGGGAAGGGCACATGCTGGGCTGGCAGCCATACCAGCCCTGAGATGTCTCCTGAGCTACCGAGTCTCCAAAACCCGAGGAGACGGGCAGGCGCCATGCCTCCGCTCCAGGCCAGGACCAGCTCTGCAGAAAACAAGGTGTTTCCTAGAGATGACGGCTGGCGGCACGAGGGTTAGGGACCCTTCCCCCAAACCCTCTGGGGCAGGGCAGGAACTGGCATGAGTTTCTTCACTTTGCCCCACCCTACGAAATATTGTTCTCCTGGCTTGCAGGATTAACTTAAAATGCTGAGGGTGGACAGACATCAGCTTCCAAGATGACTGGTGTTCTGCGGGCCGAGTGCAGACCATGGTGGGCGGTCCCTGAGGGGTCCCTGAGCGCCGGGCCCACCGCGAGGACGGAGGGGAGTTGAAATCAGAGCTCCAGGAAGGAAAGGGATGGGCACAGGCTATATCTGAGCAGGTTTTGCTTCTGAGAGTGTCTTGATGCCCTAAATTGACAGACTAAGGGTCCAGCAGTCACCAGTTAACCAAAGTCACATGAGACACTCCTCTCTCAGAGGCTGCTCCCCTCCCTGAGGGCCAGACCCAGTCTCCCAGCCCACACAAGGGCGGCCATCAGAGCCCTGAAGGTTTGTATCCGATAAGGGGCAACTCTGGGCCCTTATCTGCAGATGCCCATCCAGGAAGACTACTCCGCCATGGTGCAGAGGGCCACAGAATTCTGGGCATCAGCCTAGTGTGTCCCTCAATCAGGTGGCCCATGGTCTGTCTAGTCATCTTTTTGCAGTCACTGCAGAGTGCAAGCTGTGGAGGGTAAGGGAGAAGGGTCAGCGCCAGGTCTCTGGCAAAAAGAGGAAGAATCCAGGGCTGCCCCTGGCCTTCACTCCTCCTTAGGCAGAAGGTAGAACCACAGGCAGGACTCACAGCTCCGAACAGACTCCGACAGCCCCTCCTTGTCCAGGGTCTCGGCTTCCCAGTGAGACTCCCTCATCTGTGGGACAAAAAAGCAACACCAAGGTGACAGGAAGCCAGGGACAGGCAAAGGAGCTGCATCAACAGTCCCTGAGCAACTGGGAGTGAAAGACAGAGACAGAGTGGAGAGCTGCAGATGGAAGCCAGAAAGGGAGACACACAGGAGAAAAGGTGGGGCAGACAGCTACAAGCAGAGGAGCAGAAATCACAAGGCCTTGCCCCAATGGGACCCCCCCCAGGTGCTCACCTTGATTTGTTCCTTCAGGTATTCAGCTCGAGCCATGAGATTCTGAACCTGCCATGGGAAGACATCCGTGTGCGGGGGGAAGACCTGAGTTAGATCCTCCTCACTCCTGCTGCTCTCCAGAACCCTCTGCCCCAGAACAACTGCACCGAGTCCTTGATCTGCTCCTTCCTCCAGAAAGCCTTCCTGACTGAAGTGGCCCTGCCAACTTTCTGTTGCTGGGTCCCTGGATCCTGCCTGTCCCACAGCCTGACCTGAACTCCTAGCCCCTATGAACCACATGGGGCCAACAACCTATCAGGTCTGTAAGGTCTGACTCACAGACTTGAAACACCCTCAGGGAACCCGATGGGAAGGGGGTCAAAGGGGAAGATGAAGCCCCCCACAACCCACCCAACCACAGTGGGCACCTCAGTGTGAAGCAGCTCCCGCCTCCGGCCTGGGGGCTCTCCTGCAAAAAAAGGGGGCGAGTGCTAAGGGCAGGGCAGCAGGGAGTCAGGGAGTGAGGTGGTGAGGGCCTCACCTGCCAGCAGCAGCAGCAGCTCCCCCAGGCTGTGCTGGTACAGGCCCAGGGCGTCCTGCTCTCCGCCAGCTTCCTCCTCCTGCAGCCACAGAGACACTAGCCACTTAGGGTCACGATCTAGATCCCTCCCTGCCCCACCTGGGCCCCTCCCACTGAGTACACACCTTGGCCACAGCAGCTGAAGCCACTTCCAGAGCAGCCAGGAGGCGTGGCTTGTCCCGAGCCATCTCTGGAATGAAGGGCAAAGGCTCAGGGGGAGGGGAGCAGCTTGTTTTCTCATCTCAGGGAGCTTGGGGGCTTGGGGGCCAGGCAGGAGCTGGGCCCACCTCTGAGCAGCACTTGGGCAGAGGCCCCCTGCCTCAGCAGGGCCTGATTGGAGGAGGACACGATGGCCTTGAGCTCCTCAGCCCGGGACACGTACTGTCGCACCTGCAGAAGCATGAGGAGCTGAGGAGGGCTGAGGAGGGGCTGTCCCACCCGGTCCCCCTCACCAGCAGCCACATCCGAGTTCTCCCTCTAGGTCCTCGGTGACTGTCCCAAGCTGTAATGTCAGGAGCCAGCCTGACCCCTTCCCAGGGCCGGAGGTCCGGGTTCTAAGAGAGCCAGTCTCAGGCAGCCCCAGGACCCCGCAGCAGTTTCCTGCAGGGGACTTGCTCACCCACCTTTGCCTTAATCGCCTCCTTCCGCTGTGTATCCACTTCGTCTGCAAACAGTGGTGGTTTATATGAGGACCTTGTCCCACAGCAAACCCTCTAGAATCCTCAAAAGCACTAAGTTCTAGATTTATCCTCTGCCTTGTCTCCCACAAAATTATGAATGGGGACATGCTTCTGGAACCATCCACAGCAGCTATGGCCGACCCACCCCTGCTACACGCAGGGCCCATGCACTTACAGTGCAGGGCAGGCACAAAGAAGTCCAGGGCCTTGCAGTAGAGTGATAAGGCAGCCGCAGCATTCCCCTCCTGGTCCTTCTTCACAGCCTGCACCACCAGGGTGGTCTGGAGGATGGGCAGGTCAGGGAGTCATGCCCACCCCTCTGCTCACCATAAAGTGGGAACAGCAGGTGTCCTGAGCCCACCCTCATTCCGAGGGGCAAGCCCCCCATTTGTCACCAAAAAGTGTAGATGAGACCCCCAACCTGCCTTCACCCCGGCCCATCCCTAGTGGCCTGCTCACTGCTCGTGCCAGGCTCTCCTCGCTGGGCATGTGCTCCAGGTCCACCCAGGGGTGGGCGAAGAAATCCTGGAAGGAGATGCGATGGCCAGGGTCCCGCTCTAGGAGCCGCCGCAGCAGGTCCTGGCAGTCTGGGGAGAGCTGGGGCCGAAGGGGAAGCTGAGGGGTGGGTGGGGGACAGGTCACACCGGGCTCCAGGACCTCCCCCATCCTGTCCTGGTATGTCCCAGAGGTACATGTCTGACAGGTGAAGGATCTGAGAGCCAAGCCTCCTGCCCACGCCCTCCCTGGTTCGGGCTCTCCCCGTCCTCTTCGGGAAGACCGGGCCTGGGCCTCCACAACAGCCTGTGGGCTGATGTAGGTCCTTAGAGCCGGGTGGAGCTTCCAGCACGCCCAGCACTGCAAGGCCCCTAGAGCCCACACCCCAGGCTGTGCAGGGAGAGAGATCTCCAGCCTGAGGACTCTGCTCCCTCTGCCCCACTACAGGTCGCTGAGGCCCTGCAGGACCCACCTCGATAACCCGGTTACTCCGGATCTTCTCTTCCAGCTCTGTGAACGACCTGGAGGCAAAGGGGGGCTGCCCGAAGAGGGCTTCTGTGGAGGGAGGCAGAGGGCAAGCTGGGAGGGACAGCGTGCAGCCTGGCCTGGCCCACTCCTTGGAGGGCCTGACAACCCAGAGCAAGGGCTCAGGCCATTAAAGTCAGCCTTCTCATCAAAGCCCTCAGGAGGGACCGGGAGGGCATGCCCGAGGACACAGTGCAGGCTCAGTGTGGGGCCGGGGACAGAGCTCTCACCATACAGAATGACCCCCACGGACCAGAGGTCCACACGGGCATCGTACTGCCGCTGACACACCATCTCAGGGGCCATGTAGAGAGGGGAGCCACGGAGCACATGCTTCTCATCCCACGGGGACATGTGCTGTGAGAAGCCGAAGTCTGCAGGCAAGAGGTCAGGCAGCAGGGCTCAAACTCCAGCTTTACCTTGAGCTCCAGCCTTACTCTGAGCTCCAGCACAGGACTCCGCCCCATTCAGCTCAAGTCTTAGCTAACTATTAACCTCGAACACCCTCCTGCATCTTTCAGTGAGGGCATAAATCCTCCCGTCACACACAGCCCCCTGCTACTTTTCCAGGAAGCCCACTCTGCTCAACCAGCTATGAAGATAACGGCCCATTAGGAGTTAGAACCCTGCCTTACTGTCCCACCAAGTTCAGATTATACCCTCTGCAGCCTCAAGCAAATTCTTTTCCAAATCCTATCATGGGCCACAACCTCCGCCCCCCCCCCCCCCCCCAACACACACACCCTCCAACACTGATGCAGGTTGAGTTTACAGCTTGAGCTTCAATTCTAGTGATCTACCAAGTCCTGGCCCTGATCCCAAGCATTATACTGCTGGAATCCAGTGTGGATGGCCTGAGAAAGGCACTGCCTTTTGGCGATGGGACCCATTTCTGGATCTCCCAGCCGGTTGCTGTTTGACGACTCGATAGAGGGCGCCACAAATGCACACCCACCCTCCAAACCTGGAAGCTCCATTCAGTTCTAAGGACCCAGTACAGTTCACAGATGGTTGTGGAGATTCAGGCCCAGCTTTCCCCTGCTGTTCCAGACTCACACCTGCCAGTTTGAGGTGGGGCTTCTCCAAGGAGCTCAGCAGAATGTTCTGTGGCTTCAGATCCAGGTGAGATATGTTTCGTTGGTGCAGAAACTGCAGGGCACTAGCTGGGGAACAGGACACATGCAGAGAAAACAGGTCAGAGGGACCCATCTCCCACCCTCCTCTCGCCTTCCCTGACATGCTTCTTCAAGCCTGCATGACCCCATTTCTGGCCTGGCTGGTCTTCTGAATGCTTTACACAAAAGCACCAGGTTCCTGCCACTTCTAAGAACCCTCATTCCCACCCCCAGTGCCATTTTTCCTCCTTTGGCTCCTCTGCAAGTCTCCCTCCTCCTAGAAGCCTCCCTGAGAGCCCCGGACCTTTCGACTTTTGCTCTTTCTTTTGGTAAAGCACTTAGATACACCCCAGTGGGCCCTGATGCGCCCTACAAGGTCTTTCTATTATGTTCGCATGTAGAAAATCTGGACTTCTTACAGCTTCAGGCTCTACCTTTCTCTTGTAACAGCCTTAAGCTAGGGATGGGCACATGGCAAAGACAGGGCCTATAAATCCAAGCTGGGAAAGGAGGCAACTGCTAAGAGTGCAGGGACTCTAAGCCTGGGGAAGGGTGCAGAGGGAGGACAGAGATCATGGGAAGTCTGGGGTCAGAGGTTTTTACCCAACTGCTGCATGAAGACACGAGCCACCTTCTCAGGTAGAATCCGGCGGGTATGGATGAAGCGAGACAGGTCACCTCCTGCGCAGAACTCCATGATGAGGTAGATGTTGTCACTGTCCCACTATGGTTAGAGGCAAAGAGGCAACTTGAAGGAAGTGTCTCTTCTCCAGTCTCCTTTGCAAGTGGCCAAACCACAGGCTCACACCTGGAAGTCTTTCAGCTGGACGATGTGGGGGTGTCGAATGCCCTTGAGGATTTCAATCTCTGTCAGGAGGTTTTCCACCGATGCCTTGTTCAGGCTCTTCTTGGCCACACATTTTATGGCTACCACCTCTCGAGTGTCCTTCTATGGAGGCAGGACATCTCAGGGCTCTATCTTGAGCGAGCCAGGGCCCATGCCTTGCCAGAAAGGCTGATTCCCCCTACCCTTCTCCCCCTCACTGGGCTTACCCACTCACACCAGCATCCAACCTTCCCCTTCTCAGGCTAATGGGAACCCACCCAGCCTGGTGTTCTTAAACCCCTCTTCCCTTAGTCCTATGAGCGCTTCTAGAGTGCTCCCAACTAAGGCATGTCATTCATTTCGTGTTCTAGAATTGCCCACATTGCTGCCTAAGTGGGTCCAGCCTTCCAGAACTCTGTCCAAGATTCCTCCCAGCCCACCAGTTTTGAGCCCATTCTAAAGCCACTGACACGAAGCTCCATCCAGGTCGCCACCTGCCTCTCCAAACAAAACACAGGGGTGTGTACGTGTTTGTGTGTACGTGTTTGTTTTCAAGACCGAGGGGGTCAGTCAGTTCCCACCTCGTCCACCGAACACCAGATCGGGACACGTCAGGCCGCGGGTGCCTAACTGCTCTCCTGTCTAACCTCCCCTGGTTTCCCAGCCTGCCCGCCCCTCCCCGCCTGGGCTCGCTCAGGGTCTGGCGGGCACAGGGCCCGGCTCTCAAGCCCGGTTCCGGCTCCGCCCCTCTCCCCCCACCTTGGCGTAGGCCTTGTACACCGTGGCGTACGTGCCACTGCCCAGGCGCTCGGTGAGGATGAAGCCATCCAGCCGCGGGGGACCCCAGCTGGACCGCGCCATCCTGACCACCTCGCGCCAGGCACCAGGCGCTTCCTGCTTCCCTGGCGGTTCCGGCGGAGTCCAGCGCGAAGAGCGGAAGAGCGCGCGGCTACAGGCGGAGTCCTCGCTGCCGCCGGAAGAGCAGCGCGGGGGCGGGGCCAGGCTCCCAGGCTCTAAAGACTCTCCGCCTCCCGAAGCTTTCTCTGCTGCACCTCTGAGTGCTGCCAGCCCCTCCTCGGCTTCCGTCAGCCCTAGAAGTCACATGATCTGCAAGATCCATCTGGGAATACTGAGGCTCCAGAGAGCCAAAGGGAGGAACTAGAGACCAGCATAGGAGGTCAGCCTAACCAGCTTATTAGGATCTTAGAGATCAAGAAAGGTGAGGGGGCAGGGGATTCAAAGAGGCCCCTCCTCCCAATACCAGCCCCTCTGAAAGTGGAATTACTGGGACATGTGCTAAGGTTGCAGACATTCCCCAGTCAGGGCACATACAAGAATCAACCAATCCTATGTAATAAAAGCTTAATATGCTAAATGTCTGGTTGTCTGGTCAGCCATTCAACCAATCAAAGCATAATATGCTAATGATATACTCAACTGCTCACTATGATGTGCATTTTCCACCAGGGGGCACATGCTCTGTTTCTGGCCCATCTCTCTCAGTCCTCTCTCAGTCCTGATCAGCCAGACCCCAGCAACAAGCTAACCTGCTGGGGTCCGGCTGATCAGGACTGAGTGAGATGGGCCAGAAACACCTTGGAGCCCTCCCACTCCCCGCATCCCTCCCCAGCCTGATCCTGCACTGATGGAATCCCTCAGCCTGTCCTGTGCCCTCTTGCAATCTGGGACCCCTCAAGGAATGTTGGAGAGCTAGTTTCGGCCCTACAGTGGACCAACTAGACACTTTGACATGCACTGACCACCAGGGGGCAGATGGTCAATGCAGGAGCTGCCCCCTGTGGTCAGTGCATTCCCACAGGGAGCTGGGCTCAGTAGCAGTGCTAAGGATGTGCACCTGTCAGCTTAGGCCCACTCCCCACCTAAGCCATCAGTCGGACATCCCCTGAGGGCTCCCAGATGGCAAGAGGGTGCAGGCCGGACTGAGGGACAATCACCCCCATCCCCCAGTGCACGAATTTTGTGCACCAGGCCTCTAGTGATACATAAATAAGTGGAACAACAAATCTGTTTCTTAAATCAATAAAACCTGTTTGTGAGAATTTTAAAAATATATTTTATTGATTTTTTTTTTTTTTAACAGAGAAGAAGGGTCAGGGATAGTTAGAAACATCAAAGAGAAACATTGATCAGCTGCCTCCTGTACACCCCCCTCCTGGGGATGTGCCTGCAACTAAGATACATGCCCTAGACTGTAACTGAACCTGGGACCCTTCAGTCCAGAGGCTGATGCCCTATTTATTGAGCCAAACCAGTTAGGGCAAGAATTGTTTTTTTTAATTAAAAAGTATAATAGAAGAGGCCAATAGTTATCTCAGGAAGGGACTTTCCCCTAGGGATGAGAGGCTTAGCCTGTCACAGACCAGCCAGGGAGCAGGGGGCAGCATGTTGACTGACCCCTCACATCTATAGAGCACTTCAGCTCCTACTCCTGTGGGCCACCCCATCCGCCCAAGTCCAGCAGACACTGGAACCAGTGTTGTCTGAAAATGTCTTTATTTAAGCACAAAACTGAAACAACATATACATTTGTACATGGAGAGAAAAGATACCAAAAAGAAATTTACAAAACCTTGGTCACTATCATTAAACCATCATTCAGTGGCTCTGGAGTGGAGTGGGCTGTATTCAGGGCTGCCTCTGGATTGCCTGCTTTTTGAGAAGTTCCCTCAGTCCACAGCTAACTCCAGGTGTATCCATCCCTACAGCCTCTCCAGGGTAGGGTGCAGGTGTTGATGGTAGACTCTTAGGTGCTCATCACAGTGACACACCTCCTGGGGAATAACTAGGACCAGGGAAAGGTGACCTAGACTCTACTCCTGCTCGGGGTATGGGAGAACCCTGGAGGATGAGTCTGGAACTCTGGCTCATCAGACCAGCCTGAAGGATTCAGTTCTGAACTGATCTGACCTGCCCTTCTTAAGAGTCAAACAAGCTATATATTGCTGATGTGGGATCAGAGGGTTAGAATGTGAGGCCAAGGCAGAGCACAACTGTCCCCCAGGAGAAGAGGAAATCAAAACAAACAGGGACAAACAACCCACACTAGGACAGTCGCACACACTCCTCCTAGAAGACTTAAAGGCTGGGCAGGACAACTCGGGTTGTCCTCTGTTCCTGCCTATTCCCAGATCTCAACCAACCCCAATGCACATTCAGTAAGTATAAGGAGGGGAGGGCTCAGGGAGGGCCCAGATGGCACAGGAGCTGCAGACTCACAGGAGCTGTGAGTCTTTGCAGAGACAAAAGAACTTCTGTCCACAGCTGGAAGGTGCAGGGAGCCAATAGGGCTATGAATCTGTGAGAAACTTGAGGCAGGAAAGAGGCTAAGAAATCAGTCAGAGGCTCTGGAAGCCCAGAGACCTGTCCAGAGTGATCTGGGGGAAAAGAGCTATCCGCCAGCCCAGGCCACAGCTCATCTACTAGTAAAGGGGAGCCCTTGGGAGGTCATCTCAGCCCAGCATGTAGGGCAGGACAATGGAAGCCCCTGGAAGGCTGTGGCTGTGAAGCCATTCAGGCCAGGTTTCTAGGGGATGAGTGGAGGCCCAGGAGCCGGCAGAAATACAGCTCCCAGTGGGGTGGGCCTAGGTTTTCCAATGATCCCAAGTGTGTACATATCATATGTGCATGTGGTGTGTGTGTGTGTGTGTGTGTGTAGGGAAAAGAGAACTTCAGTCCCACTGCTTCAGAGAGACAAAAGAATCTTACCAAACCACCAGAGAAGAAAAACTTTGCGTGTTTTTTCTTTTCTCTTGTGTAAAAAAGTTCCTGTCCCTCCTCCCCTTCCCTTCGGTGGAAGGGAGAACTGATGGCTGAGAAAGGAGAAAGAGCCACAGCAAGACCCTCCCCTATGGTCTGTGCTGGCCATAGCACTGCTTAAGGCACCCATGGAAAGTGCAGCTCAGAGGGCAGGCGGGAAAAAAGGCTGGGGCACAGGGAGGAGAGTCAGGACTAATTCCCTTGGAAGGCTCCTCGGGCAGCAGATGAGGCAGCATTACGGAAGGTCCTGTTGCTGAAGATGCCCTGGGAAAATTCCTCTTGAGCCTGCTGGAAGCTGGCCCCAGTCCGGCGGTATAGAGAGTGCACCTGGGGGAAAAGGCTGTGGTGAGAGAAGCCTATCTTGTAGGCCCACAGAAAACCCATGCCCGCCTGACCTCCCCTCCAGAGCCTTGAAGAAAGCCACTGGACATTTGGGGACTCAGGAGTCCCAACTACTGTAGTGATGAATACTCCCGTGGCAAGGCTGGAGAGAGGTGCCTGCTCCCTCAGGTTAGCTGTTGGTCTGGCACCCACCACTCACCCGCTTTAGAAGGAAGAGTGAGAGCACAGCACAGAGTGTGAAGAAGCCAGCCACCACCATCATGATGATCGACACAGCCAAGTCTTGCTTCAGTGTAGACAGGGCTGCAATCCAACCACTACAAAAGGAAGAGGAGGTGAGAGGGTATAGCAGAACTGGGCCCCAGAGGTCCCATGAGGGGCTTTTCTCCACTGCCCACATGGAATCTTTGGGCCATGTGAGGTCTGGTAGACGTGGCTGCTGCCCTGTCAGGAGCAGCACTTTCCCTGCTGTCTTGGGGGTATGAGGGGATATGGAAAGTATGGCTGATCATTCCCGAGGACCCACCCTCTGGAAAAGAGAATTATTGGCCAACAAACTGCATTCATCCTATCACCTCAGCTCTTCCACTGAGACATAGAGACAGGTCCCTCTGCCTGCAGCCATGTCTCCTTCCTGAGCTCCAGCATTTTCATCTATAAAAGGAAAATCCTCACACTTCCTGAGTTAAAAACTTATTACCAAGCTGCAGTTATCAAAACAGTGTGGTACTGGCATGAGCACAGACATATACAATAGAGAGGTTGATGGAATACAAAGAGCCCAGAAACAAACCCACACACACATTTACCATCTACTGGTTTTCACAAGGTGCCAAGACCACTCAATGAAGGAAGAATGATCTCTTCAACAAATGGTGCTGGGCCCTGGTCAGTGTGGCTAAGTAGATTGAACATAATCCCATGCACCAAAAGGTTACGGGTTTGATTCACAGTCTGGGCACATGCCCAAGTTACGAGCTCCATCCCTGGAAGGAGCGTGTAGGAGGCAGCTGATCAATGTTTCTCTCCTATTGATGTTTCCCTTTTCCTCTCCCTCTTGTCTCGCTCAAAATCTTTTTTTTAAGGAAACTGGTACAGACCTATGATATACAGGCAGCTTTGCCTGGGGGGAAACAGCTGTAACCACCCTATTGGAAAGCACCTTGCCCAGGGTGTTTCTGAGGCCCATTAAGAGACTGAGAATAGCCTAAACCGGTTTGGCTCAGAGCGTCAGTCTGTGGACTGAAAGGTCCCAGGTTCGATTCCAGTCAAGGGCAGGTACATTGGTTGCGGGCACATCTCCGGTGGGGGGTGTGCAAGAGGCAGTTGGTCGATGTTCTCTCTCATTGACGTTTCTAGCTCTCTATCCCTCTCTCCTCCTCTCTGTAAAAAATCAATAAAATATATTAAAAAAAAAAAAAAAAAAAAAAAAGAGAGAGAGAGAGACTGAGAATAACAGCCTCCAGGCAGAAGCTATTGCTCTCCCCCTTCCTCCCTTTGAAAAAACTCTCGCCACACCTGTGGACAATTGCCTGAGGGCTATTCAAGACAGAATCCTATCAGGCTGTAGGAAGAAGGGGTCTCTGGAAACTTTGAGTCTTTACCTGAGCTAATTAGTTACAACAGTGTTTGATACTGTCCTACATTAGAGGTGTAGCAGATCTACCAAATACAGAGTCACAAACCCAGACAGGCAGTCAAAATGAGGAAACAAAGAATCCACAAATGAAAGAACAAGAGAATTCTCCTGAAGAAGAGATAAATGAGCCGAGACCAGTTTGGTTCAACGGATAGAGCGTCGGCTTGGGGACTGAAGGGACCCGGGTTCGATTCTGGTCAAGGGCATGTACCTTGGTTGTGGGCATATCCCCAGTAGAGGGTGTGCAAGAGGCAGCTGATCGATGACTCTCTCTCATCAATGTTTCTAGCTCTCTATCTCTCTCCCTTCCTCTCTGTACAAAATCAATAAAATATATTAAAAAAAAGAAGAGATAAATGAAATGGGTTTAAGAATTTATTTGACATGGAGTTCAGAATAATGATGGTAAAGATGATTAACAGCACGAGAAAAGATATAGTAACTATAAAAACAGAAATAAAGAATGACATAGCATAAATAGAGAAGACATTGGTTTTTATTTTATTTCATTTTTCTAAATAAATTTTTATTATTCAGATTATTACAATTGTTCTTCTTTTTCCCCCATAGCTCCCTCTACCTGGTTCCCATCCAACCCTCTGCCCTTGTGCCCCCCCAGACCCCTCCCTGCCACCCACTGTCCTCAGTCTCTTCCCCCATCCCCCCCACAGACGCCTTTACCCCTGAGAATTGTCAGTCCACTCCCTTTCTATGCCCCTGATTTTATTATATTCACCAATTTATTCTGGTCATCAGATTTTTTATTCACTTGATTTTTAGATTCACTTGTTGATAGATATGTATTTGTTGTTCATAATTTTATCTTTACCTTTTACTTCTTCTTCCTCTTCTTAAAGAATACCTTTCAGCATTTCATATAATACTGGTTTGGTGGTGATGAACTCCTTTAGCTTTTTTTAATCTGTGAAGCTCTTTATCTGACCTTCAATTCTGAATGACAGTTTTGCCGGGTAGAGTAATCTTGGTTGTAGGTTCTTGATATTCATCACTTTGAATATTTCTTGCCACTCCCACCTGACCTGCATAGTTTCTGTTGAGAAATCAGCTGACAATCGTATGGACGCTCCCTTGTAGGTAACTATCGATAACTGTTTTTGTCTTGCTGCTTTTAATATTCTTTCTTTGTCTTTTGCTCTTGGCATTTTAATTATGAGGTGTCTTGGTGTGGTCCTCTTTGGATTCCTTTTGTTTGGAGTTCTCTGTGCTTCCTGGACTTGTAAGTTTATTTCTTTCACCAGGTGGGGAAAGTTTTCAGTCATTATTTCTTCAAAATCTTGCTCTCTCTCTTCTTCTGGCACCCCCATAATTTGGATGTTGGTACTCTTGAAGTTGTCCCAGAGGATCCTTACACTATCTTCATAATTATGGATTTTTTTTTGCTTTTTGCTTTTCTGGAGGAGTGTTTTTTCCTCTTTGTATTTCAAATCTTGATTCTTGCGATCCTCTAGTCTGCTTTTAGGTCTCTGTATAATATCTTTTATTTCAGTTAGTGTATGCTTAATTTCTAGTTGGTCCTTTTTTCATATCCTCGAGGGTCTCGTTAAATTTATTGGCCTTTTCTAGGAAATTCTTGAAAAACATTATAACCGTGGTTTTCAACTCTATATCCACTCTTTTGCTTTCCTCCATTTCCTTCATTTGTGGCCTCTTTGTCTCTGCATTTTGGCTGCTTCTCTGAGTTGATGGAGTGGCTTTGTGTGCTAGGTTTCCTATAGGGCCCAGTAGCCCAGCCTCCCCAGTTACCTGAGGTGGACACTCTTGGTGAACCCCTTTGTGGGCTGTGTGTGCAATCTTGTTGTAGTTAAGCCTTGATTACTGGGGGGAGTTGATCTCCAGGCCAACTGTCTGTGAAGATCAGCTTTGTCTATGCTGGGAGAACTTCTGTGCTGGAGACACCCTCATGAGACAAGACTTGCAAAAGCCTCTGTGTTCAGCTTGGATGGGGCGGAGTCTAAGGGCGGAGCAGACAGCAATGGCTTCCTGTCAGCCCTGCCCTAAGAGGCCCCTGGGTCTCAGAGTCCAGCAGTAATCTTTGCAAGCACCTCTTGAGAGAAAGCCACCCTTCAGTTCTGCCCGCTGCAAGACAGTCCAGTTTCACCCTGAATGAGTCTGGTTCTTCAGAGTCTCACCTGGAACTGGAATTCAGAGCAGTCGGGAGCTTTTGTTTCCCTCCTGATTGAGAAAGCCGGTGCGTACTCAGTTACCAGTCCTCTCCATGCGTGCGCCTCCTTACCTCTGCCTTCTGCAGCTCCTGTGAGTCTCAGTGTGCTTTTCTCTTTCCTGCTAGTTGTAGAATTTCCAGCCAGTCTTCCTGTGGTTCTGGATGATGTCTGTTTTGTCTTTTAGTTGTAGTTTTGAAATTGTTTTGCGAGGCAACCGTTTAGGTGTTTACCTATGCTGCCATCTTGGTTTCTCCCCACATTGGCTTTTATATTTAAAATGTTTATATTTAGGAGAAATCAAGCTGGCAGCATAGGTAACACTTATACTGCTGCCTCGCACAACAATTTCAAAATTGCAATTGAAAGACAGAGCGGACATCGGCCAGAACCACTGGATAGCTGGCTGAGTGAAAATTCTACAACTAGAGGGAAAGATAAAAGGACACGGAGACCCAGAGGAGCTGTGAAGGACAGAGGTGCAGAGACCAGCATGCACGGAAAGCAAAGGCAGCTGAATATGTGGCTGGCTTAATCGCAGCACACAGAGAGGGTGGGCAGCAAGAGTGTGACTAGCTTTCTCATTTGGGCAGGAAACAAAACCTTCTGACTGCACTGAAATCCAGTTCTGGTACCCAGACTCATTTGGGGAGAAATTGGACTGTCTGGCAGTAGGCGAAACTCAAAAGCAGCCTTCTCTCAGAGGTGCATGCAGCCATTGCCGCAGGATACTGGGATACAGGGGCCTCTTAAGGTGGGGCTGATGGGAAACCAAGGCTGTCTGCTCCGCCCTGAGAATCCACCCCATCCAAGCTGAGCACACAGAAACTCTCCCATCGTAGATACAGCTGATCCTCACAGCCAATTGTCCTGGAGATCAACTCCCCCCAGTGATACCAACAATAATCAAGGCCTAATTACAACAAGACTGCACACACAGCCCACAAAGGGGTTCACCAAGAGTGTCCACCTCAGGTAACTGGGGAGGCTGGGCTACTGGGCCCTATAGGAAACCTAGCACACAAAGCCACTCCATCAACTCAGAGAAGCAGCCAAAATGCAGAGACAAAGAGGCCACAAATGAAGGAAATGGAGGAAAGCAAAAGAGTGGATATAGAGTTGAAAACCACGGTTATAATGTTTTTCAAGAATTTCCTAGAAAAGGCCAATAAATTTAACGAGACCCTCGAGGATATGAAAAAAGGACCAACTAGAAATTAAGCATACACTAACTGAAATAAAAGATATTATACAGAGACCTAAAAGCAGACTAGAGGATCGCAAGAATCAAGATTTGAAATACAAAGAGGAAAAAACACTCCTCCAGAAAAGCAAAAAGCAAAAAAAAATCCATAATTATGAAGATAGTGTAAGGATCCTCTGGGACAACTTCAAGAGTACCAACATCCAAATTATGGGGGTGCCAGAGAAGAGAGAGAGCAAGATACTGAAAACCTATTTGAAAAAATAACTGAAAACTTTCCCCACCTGGTGAAAG